CTCACGTAAAATTCTAATTTTATGTGAGCAAATGAAGTTGATGGCTTGTAATGGGATGTTAGGCCTATTTCAGTCATAGTGCAAACGCATTGCTCGTGCATTTGTGTGGAGCAAGGTTTTCCCATTCATTTGAAGTTGTGTGGAATTCATATTGAACAAATTGCAACAGGAGCAACGAAGGGAAGGGCAAGAAAACACACGGCATATTCGTGTGTTTTCTTGCCCTTCCCTTCGTTGTTCCTGTTGCAATTTGAAGTTGTGTTCCGTGCGATGCAATGGCAGCGTTCTCGTCTTGGTGACCTGCAATCGATCCCACATGCTGCAAGTGGATGGTAACCCTGGCCATTCACTGCACACAGGGGGTAATTTAGAAGCAAATTAAACAACCATCATGCCAAAGCAAGGGATATCCATTGTAATGAATATAATTAAACTGGATTATTATCATTATTATTATTAACAAATGTGCCGACTTGCGTTAACAGTTTCAGTGTTCATTTTGTTTTTTGTTTATTTTTCACGAGGTTCATCTGCCTGAATATTCTTTCACATGTTGCCAGTTAATGGAATGGAGTTCCCTTAGTATTTTGGTAATTACGTACTGTCTACTAATGAGTGCCTAAACTACAGTGATGCCAGTCTGTTACCTGCCCCAGCCAGTCGCCTAAACTAGGGTCACACTAGTCCTCTCTGTCCTGGGATCCCTGGACAGACTCGCCGAATTCTACAGTTCAGTTAGATTTACGAAGTCATGCTTCGCCCGGGCCTTTTCTCTGGAGTGGCCCGGCGCCGAATTCTAGCCAGCGACAGCTTTTAATTGGTCAGCTGACAAGACAGACCTGACAGAGAAGACTGGTGTGACAGCTTGAGTCACTTCTCCCAGCACAATATTGATTGATTCCAGGGATGTCAGTGGGGGTGTCTTCTCCCCCCCATACCTTAAGACCCTTTTTTCCCCAAAATTACTCTGACATAGGTCTGTTTTAGTTTAAAAGTATCCGTAGAATAGCTTATTTTCCAGATTTTTTTTTTTCACTTTCCTCGCCTACTAGCCCTCCCCCCCCAAAAAAAAGAGGTTAAATTGACATCCTTATATGATTCTCTCATGGACTAGTATTATATTTTGTATTTTTAATAAGGTAAAGCTGATTACAATGATAGTATGTACATGAAAGTGGCGGAGATAAGATAACAGGCTGGGATACCGTGTGGGATATGGCAACACTTCCTTGAACCGCTCTGTTCAAGGATAAAATACCTGAACAGAACGCGTCTAAACCCCCTAAGCTGACTGCTTTTAAGGAGTTATTGTCTACTCTGATTATCCATTATATTATTACAGTATCTATAACACTCATTACTCACTGATATGAAATGTAGGATAAATAGCTAAATCATTTAAGTTTTCGCTTGTTTCTTTCTGACTCTTGGCTAAATGAGATATTCCTGGGCTGAAAGTAGTTAAAATTGGCTAGATTTTACCAGAAAATGCCTAATCTGGCAACACCGTGTTATATCTTTCGCTGTTATACCTCAAGGCTTGTGGTTTGTTCCCCTGCCGTTCCTTGCTTATGATTGGAAAGAAAGATAGAAAGAAAAAAAAAAAAAAACTTACGACCTATTGTTTCCTTACTGATAATCGTCGTTTTTCATCTATAATTTATTTCATGCTTTTTCTTTGTATTTACATTTCATGACTATTCATAATTCTTGTTTTTTGGTGTGGTGTTGGGAAGAAAGAGGTAGATAAAGTAATTTGTCGTATCATTTTTCACGATTACTCTATAATACCTTTGTACTTTCTGGTTTTCCAACTATAATATGGTAGTCAATGGAAAAGCAATCTCTCTGTCTTTATTATTGGCGATATGTTTCAGCTCGAATTTATTTCTGAATTTATTTCTATTTATTATATTTATTTATATTTATTTATTTATTTATATTTATATTTATTATATTATATTTATTATATTTTTATTTCTGAATTTATTTCTATTTATTATAGTGCAATGACAGATAAGGAAGTCATGTCAAAGCAAAGGATATGTATACGCAGAAAAAAATCATATTTCTTTATTTATATGAGAAAAATCCAAATTAAAAATTTATGACATTTATCAGAACTAATTATATTACATTAATAACACAAAGAAGTAAATAGATAAAAACAGATAAATACAAATCAGTTATTGACGTGCGAGAGCGGATTTAATGTTCATTCTTCTTCCTCCTGCTGTAAATAAAGAAAGAAAAAAAATAATTACAAAACTATATGATTATTGACTTGACTTCCGTACAGTATACATTAAAAAAGAAAAGAAAAGAAAAAAAATATGATGAATGAATAATTTACGAAGTTAAGTGTTTGCGTATGTATCCGGATACAAACAAACGTGTAATAAGTGGTTGCATATAATACTGGTAAATAAAGAAAATAAATATTAAAGTGATTAACCTGCCTTTCATGCTTTTCAGGGAAAAAGGACCATATACCAGGAGAAAAGTTATTATTTTAGATCACCATAACAAGAAGATCCGGACTAAAGTTTGTGTGTACGTGTGTGAAATGTACATACACGTATAAGACGTGTACCAAGGGAGTATTTCCTAAAACCGGTCACGATAAGGCGATTCCAAGAACTGATAAGGGGAATAAATATGTATTGTCAAGCCATCGTTTTTTCTTTTTTTCTTTTCTTTTTAAGTAAACATCACGATAGAAAGGTCTGGATTCATATACGTGTTTGAAGTACAGATATACGTATAACACATGTACCAGATGAGAGCATATTTCCTAGAACCAGATGAGATAAAGCGTTGATAAGAACTGACCATGAAAAAAAAAAAAAAACTTAATGCTGTTTCTGTTATCGTGTTTCTTTTATCTGCAGCATTTTGTTTCATCCAAGATATTACCCTATATCAGTTTTCAGTGGCATGACATATGGATATAGGAATGTGTTGGACAAGGTGGGCCATCCTTGGTATATGTAGTTTAATCAAAATGAAATGTTGCAGACTCAGTAATTGCTTTTATTATCCTACCTCAGCCCTCGCTAAGCCTGATCTGTCCGTCACTCGATTTGCCTGTTGCTGTGGAAGTGTCTTTCTTCCTCTTCCTCTTTCTGTCTATTTCCATCTACTTACCCGTCCGTGTCAATGATTCTCTTTTTGTTTCCCGTTTTCATCTCAATAATTCTGTGTGTGCGTGTGTGTGTTTGCTTGTATGTATACATGTGTGTGTGTGTGTATCGGTGTGTGTGTATGTGTGTGTGTGTGTGTGTGTGTGTGTGTGTGTGTGTGTGTGTTGTGTGTGTGTGTGTGTGTGTGTGTGTGTGTGTGTGTGTGTGTGTGTGTGTGTGTGTGTGTGTGTGTGTGTGTGTGTGTGTGTGCGCGCGCGTGTCCGTGTCCACAAATACGCGCGCGCGCCCACTCATAAATATTCATACACCTCTCTCTCTCTCACTCTCCTTCTCTCTCTCTCTTCACTCTCTTTCTCTCTTTTTCTCTCTCTTCCTTCGTCCTTTCTCTCTCACTCTGCTCTCGTCACTCTCTCTCTCTCTCTCTCTCATCCTGTCTCTCTCTCATCTCTCTCTCTCTGTCTCTCTGTCTCTCTGTCTCTGTCTCTGTCTCTGTCTCTCTCTGTCTCTCTCTCTCTCTCTCTCTCTCTCTCTCTCTCTCTCTCTCTCTCTCTCTCTCTCTCTCTCTCTCTCTCTTCTCTCTCTCTTCTCTCTCTCTCTCTCTCTCCTCTCTCTCTCTCTCTCTCTCTCTCCTCTCTCTCTCTCTCTCTCTCTCTCTCTCTCTGTCCTCTCTGTCTCTCTGTCTCTCTCTCTCTCTGTCTCTCTCTCTCTCTCTCTCTCTCTCTCTCTCTCTCTCTCTCTCTCTCTCTCTCTCTCTCTCTCTTCTCTCTCTCTCTCTCTCTCCTCTCTCCTCTCTCCCTCTCTTCTCTCTTCCTCTCTCTCTTCCTCTCTTCTCTCTTCTCTCTCTCTCTCTCTCTCTCTCTCTCTCTCTCCTCTCTCTTCTCTCTCTCTCTCTCCTTCTCTCTCTCTCTCTCTCTCTCTCTCCTCTCTCTCCTCGCTCTTCACTCTTTCTCTCGTCCTTCTCTCTCTCTCTCTCCTCTCCCTCTCTCTTCTCTCTCTCATGCTTTCTCTCGTCTTCTCTCTTTCTCTCTCTCCGTCTCTCCTTTCTTCTCTCTCTCTCTCTCTTTCTTCTCCCTCTCTCCCTTCTCTCTCCTCTCTCTCTTCTCTCTCTCTCTCTCTCTCTCTCTCTCTCTCTCCCTCTCTTTCTTTTCTCTCTCTCTCTTCCTCTCTCCCACTCTTCTCTCTCTTCTCTATCTCTCACTCTTTCTCTCGTCCCTTCTCTCTTTCTCTCTCCTTTTCGTCCTCCCGCTGCCAACCCCCCCCCCCACACACACACAATCCTTACAGTCTGCTCGGCCGCTGCGTCTTCCTTTGACTTCAGGAGAGTTGACAGAACTCGAATCTGCATCTTCAGCTTCCCGTTGTCCTTTTTCATCTCTTTGGCTTCGTTTTCTAATCTCTGAATTTCTTCTCTCATTCGAGCCTGTTGGAGGAAAAGGGGAAAATAATATGAAATTTGTATGATTAGGAATAGTCATTGATCTATTTACTTAAACAAATTTCTCTTCAGCTGTCTGCCTGTATATATCTTTCTATCTATCTAAAGAACAAATTATTTGCCTCCTTCTTTATACTTATGTTGATTGATCTATCCATCGGTTTGTACTTGTAACTACGTATCTATTTATTTATCTGTTTATATTGGACTGGCTATAATTTTTTTTATTTGTTTTTTCTCAATGAAGCAGTCACTTTATGAGTGTATATTTGTAAAAAAAAAAAAAAAAAAAAAAAAAAATGCATGTAGTCTCTCCCTCTTTGTCTTTATTTCTGCCTTTCTCTCTCTCTCTCTCTCTCTCTCTCTCTCTCTCTCTCTCTCTCTCTCTCTCTCTCTCTCTCTCTCTCTCTCTCTCTCTCTCT